TGAAACATCTCACCAACAAATTTAAATCTAACACCCTCAACAAATACTCCTATGATTTATGTTCTGAACTTTGGCTTTGATCATGACCGTCTTGCTTGAATCATAAATGGAAATATCTAGCCTAACAATAAACAATTTGACATCTCTATGTTCTATTTCTTATTTCTGATGGCAATAAAAAATTCTATTTATCTAGCTTTTCACATGAAGATGAATTTTAAGGGCAAAAGAGAATTGTTATGTTTAATGAAAATTGGTACCGAATTGGTGATGGAGCAAAATAGCCTTTAGGCCAAGCATAGAAAATATAGGTACTGTTATATTTTTTGTAAAATATATCATAATTCATCTTGAAAAAGCATATATTGGCATGTTGCCAACAAACTCCGATATGACATTAGCAAATACACCTTACCACATAAGAATCTACGGATGCAATCAATAATGAATAACTAAACAGAGGAGATAATTTCATAGTTTAACTCTATATAAAGTAATTGTTGTAGGCATCATCATCTGAATTAACCCTTGGTGCCCTAAGTACTTTTCCTTTTCTTCTGAAATTAAAGGACAACACATAGAGCATAACTTTAGGCCGAAAGAGCCGAGCTAGAACCCATAGGCCCAAGTGGCTGTCGCTGCGCCGGCCAGCAGTACAAGGGGCAGGACTGAACTTTAATCAGTGAATCAAAAATGAACCACAGCACCTGCCAACTATTTGAATCTTTGCCACCAACCCTCTCTGTCTCGCTCCCTAGACCCCAATTCCCCCTCGAACCCCCATCTAGTAGTACAAGGGTCCGTGACATTGTTTGACAGTTTCCTCATGACGCAGCATCTGAAGAGATTGTCAATATCACACTATTCTTTTTTTGAAACGGATATATCACGCTAATTTCAAACATCACGAAAACGCAAGCCATATATATAACCAATATATCAACAGGCTTCACACCACCGTACAACAAATCTCAAATTCGCATGGAAGCTCATCGTTTATAATGGGATGCCCGCCATGCAAATCTGCTATAACACACAGGAGCATCCTGAGTTGTTCAGACCAGACTAGAAATGAAGATCAAATCACACCCGCAACATTCTGCGGGCTCTATCCGGCTGGATCAAATAACCGTGTAGGAAGCTCCATTTTTTTCTCGCAAGAAGCTGGATCCTTGAGAGATAAAAGGAATCAGCTGAATTTCCCTATGCTCGACGAATCCGATCGGCAGACATCGCCACGACAGAGTGGACAAACCCTACAAATACAGGACATAGGTTCAGCTTAGCACAAAAATAAATACTGATACAGGGCACTGCGAAAAACTAACTGATGCCTACTGTATGAAGCAAAAGCAACTCAGGAAAACCAAGTTAGTATCTCTTAAATATGAATTAGAGGAATCAGTATTAATTTTAAGTTATGTTTCGAAGAAAACTTCTCATCTTTTGAATTAAAAAATTCAAACTGCATAAATGTAAGCACCCAAAATTATTTACTTTTATTATTCTGAAAGATTTAAAACACTACTACCTTTTAAGTTCACTGATTGCTAGGCGTTGAAACATTTCAAAGACAGCCTTCAATCACACAACATTCACGTGAAACCACATTTAATTCTGTAATACAGATAGATTCACTGCTCGTGAGTAGTGACTTGTGAGGTGTGACTATACCCCCATAATGTCTATCGGTAAGTCTAGTTGCCGCCTCTTTCACAGAGCATAAGGATGATATTTATCGATTATCATCAAAGATTAATGCTGTAATACCTCTCTATTATCTGGTCATACTGGCAGTAAGATTCAAATGTACCCATCAAAGAAGTGTACAGCTTAGTTTATGGTTGAACTTCGTAGTTCGAACGAAATCCCCAAAAGTTGCCCAAAAATCATTTACCAGAAAATAAGTTTTTCAAGTATGCAGCTCTTCCTTTAGAGAAGAACCAATTGTCGTGCTAGACAGCATGTCAAGGAATAGTATAGAGCTCTCATACCAAGGAAATTATCATATCATGTTGAATCAATCTTTTCCTTGATCTGAATTGGTAAGTTTCATGAACAATACCTGTGAATCTCTTTCAGCCACTTATCTACACATGTTAGATGAAATTCGTGATTGCATGGAAGTATGCGAACACAGTCTCCTTCTTCATATTCGACAAGGCAAATGTAGCATCTGCATTGTGGAGAAGGAATGGGAATAAATAATAAATAAATAGACGTGGCTGTTTAGATTTATTCAGTACATATCTACTATCATAAAAAACTGAAAAAAGAATGTTAACAAACAAGTAAACAGACATATAGTGCCAAAGACTCCACTGTCTTAAAACTGAAAAAGAACCTGCAGCTTAAATGGCAACTGTACAAATCCACATGCACAACCGAGGCTCAGGATCTTGCTTAGGGTGTTATATACATTCTTTATAATTATATACAGTCCAAAGCACATTCTATTGAACAGTCCAAAGCACATTTTTTAATAATTATATATATTCTGCTTCCCTGCACTTAAAATTCAATTATAAATGCCCACAGGTGTCTTTCCAGTCATATGAACTATTTTATCGTGAATGGTAGACTGTAGAATATGAGAAAATTGGAGTCCTCAAGCACCTAAAATATCTCATGTTTGTGTCCAAGAACTTGATTTCTTATCGAATAGCTCGGCTAATTTTGATTTTGTAATCAAATGGCTCAACTAAGCATGCAGCCGCAGTTCAAAGGCAGTGGATCTAGATCCTTTTATATAGTGGATACACAAGCCTCTGCTTCACTTGCAGTCCTTAGAATTATCAGCAACAATAATGTCTATGCACAAGTGAACAAGGGTATTGACATTTCAGGTGTACCAACTTCCCATCACGCGCACGCAAGCTACGTTACTGAGTATGCCCAAACGTGCACCACCGAGTATTATCAATTAAAGAATTTCAAAACAAGCTTAATGGCTTACTGTGCAGCCTCATCAGTTTGGTGTTTCAACGGCTTTCTGTACACCTTGACAGGAAGACTCTCGACGATCTCCTTTGGAGCAGGAACGGATCCAATTGAAGGTAATGATGTCCTTGAGGATAAAGCAGCAGACTGTTGGTGGATTTCATCCAAGACCTACGAGAGGCATAAGCATGTGGGTGTAAGTTGGCATTTCTCCAAAAAAGAAAACAGCACTAACTAGAAAAATGTGCAGCACATACCTCAAAGAGTGCTTCTGCTAGCATAACAATTCTTGATATGCTAGCCCTTGTGCCGGATTCTTCATCAGGATTACCTGGTCGACTGCTTGCCCTGCAGTTGCAATTTCCTGTTCTATGTTGACCAGATAGAATGCATGATCTCTCATGACCTGATAAATTTTCAAACCTGCTGCCCAACCTTTGGAGAGCTCGGACCTGCCAAGAAAGCAAAAGCTATAAATATACAAGCAGGCAAGTCAGAAATGATCAAAATAGTCGAACTGTACACCACCTGAGATCGTATCCTCCTCCTCCTTTCAAGAAAAGCTGATCTCCGCTCAAGAAGATCCCAATTGCTGGCCTCTCTTAGAGTTGCAGAGCCAGAATTGTACGTGCTGTTAGTTGAAGGTTCTGATTGCGGTTCGGAACCTCTGTCTGAATTAGTCCGTTGCATCACAGATGAATCTTGCCTCGCACTGGCATTTCCTGCTGTCCACACTGGTCTATCATAAAGTGAAGAGGTGAATAAACTATCTGAGAATGGAGTCCTCCTGAGGACCCTGTCACGAAGTCTTCCAACACTAAGTGTCCGGCTAAACCGGACACTGCCTTCAGAAGGTTCCTGGGGTCCCATCCTTCTGTGCGAATGCCTCAAGTTAGCATCTTCAGATTCCAGCAAATTTCTCCTAGCCTGATGAGCGGCTCTAGCTTGTGTTGTGACGCTATCCCTTAGCATATCCAGACTTGAATAAATCCCAGAAGTTGATGCACCACCTTGTTGAGGGATGCTTGCATCGGAAGGATGGTCCACATTTCCAATACTAGGATTAGCTGAAGAGGAGAGGCCGGTTGACATAATGGAGCATGCCACTGATGATCCCAAGCTGACGGCTCTACTCAACCCAAAGTTGACACCAAAGCATGGACGCGGCCGGTCAGAAGGATTTGGCGATTGGTCGTCGTCGACTGCAGTCCTGGTAGCAGTGACATTCTGCAATACATCATCACCTTGATCTCTGTCGGTATCTGATGAAGGCGTCGTTCTGCCTTCACTTGGATTCAGTTTAGGAGCTGATGGAGCATCATTATCTGATATGCCAATGTGAGCGAGTGAAGGCGTCTCCCCTCCCTTGCTTGACTGCAAACACAGGAATGTGCCATTTGATTACAAAAGGTAGGATTACTCCAAAGACTACACATCTCTTACATTCAACACAATAATAATCATTCAGAAAATCATCTATACTCATTTCACAACAAGAAAATCCATATACATTTGTCATAAGGGAACACGATCATTTTCCAACAACCATATATCCTGGCACATATAATTCACCAGAATTCACTCATTGTAAAAAGTTATGAATCTACTGGCGAGGCACACTGAACAATCATCTCCCCATTAATAAAAAGAATAATGGCTCGACAACTCTGCAGAAATCCTAGAACCGAGACTAGAAATGACAGACAGATCAATCACGGACAAACGCAGGATCTACCACAAAGGAACATGCACATCCTATGTACTGAAACGCTTTCCATTGACCCGATTCGGGAAATACAGTCTGTATTGTTATTTTGGACCAAAGGAGCTCCGCGACCGATTCCACCAATGGCAAAAAAAACGAAGCGGCAGTCCGGCTTACCTCGACCCCTAGCGGCGGCGGCGCCGGCAGCGAAGAAGAAGGGTCAGACTCGGGCGTGAAGCCCCGGAAGCAGGAGTAGCTGGGCAGGCGCATCAGGCTCCTCCCCCTCGGCTTCCCATTCCGCGCCTTGGCCTCGCCGCCGGCCGGCGCCGGCGCCGGCGAAGCGGCCTTGCTGGTCCCAGATCCCATCCCGCGCCTGGCCTCGCCTATAGATCCGCGGATCCCAGCGCCATTGTTTGGATTCCACGCCTCACGCCCGCGCAGGTGGACGTGAAAGGCAGCAACGGCAAGCCAAGCAGCTCCTGCTCCCACTACTGCTGCTGCCACTGGTCCTAGCCAGCTTACCCGAGAAGGCTAGGTAAAGAAGAGAAGCGGGCGAGGTGGAGAGGAGAGTCAGAGAGATGGTCCAGTAAAATTAACGAGGGACTGCACCGTCCCTCCTCGGTTTGATTTGATTGGACAGTTACTAGTCTACTACTCCTACTCAATCAGGGATTAATAATGGCGCCCTGTGGTGTGGTGTGGAGATGAGCCTTCGATGAGCGTGCAATAATGCACTTTCCGCCACCACTTTTGGCTACTGTTCCACTTCCCTCTCTATTGTATTTTCGTTCGTGCGAGAGGACTCTTTGTTGAAAGTGCAGCATGTGCACGAGAGATTCGACATGGGATTTCCGGTAGACATTGCACTTTTTACGTGCAGCACTAGTAGTATAGTATAGTGCTGTGGAGTAGTAATTGGCGTCTTGATTTGAAATATAAGTATTTTGTCTCTTGCCGTGTCACGGAGAAACCCGAACAGTCATTTCCTGGACCAGCCTGTAGCTCCGGGTTAAAGCAGGCTAGCAGCAGCAGTACTCCTACCCTAGACCTAGGCCTAGACCTAGACGATGTGACGAGTCGAGAAGAGAAGCGGATAAATTGGTGGTGATGGTGGAGGCAGGCAGGGCCAGCGGAGCCGCGAAAGATCCAGCGGAGCAGTCAGCCGGGGGGGCAGGTGGTCCGTCTGCAGCAGCAGCAGCAGCAGCAGCAGCGCGGGGATCAAAGCGGCCCGCACTGGCCCGTCCGCATGTGGAGGCACGAGACGGAGACGAGACCGCGCCGATGACCGCGCCCGGGGCGCCCATCCATTTGCCGCGTTCCGGCTTCCCGGCCCCCCTGCCGCCCGCGCCCCACGAGCCGCTCCGCGTGGCCCGGGCGGGTGGGGGATATGCGTTGCTGCCGCCTGTGCGCGCCCGCGCGGCGGATGGCGGGATCGGTCGGGTCCGCGGGCGGGGGAGCGAGGCGACGTTTTCGGCGCTGTGCCGCCCGTGCCTCGTCCCGTCTGCGTCGGTTTTGTTTCGGCTCTGTGCCAAGGTGTACGGCATACGGGACTCTCTCTGCTTGGTTCGTTGCTCTGGATCGCTCGTGCCGTCTGACACGTCGCAGAACGGCTAGTAGTAGTTCGTTGCGCTCTCTCGGCAGCTTTGAGGAATTGTCAGGCTTTGAAATGTACGGCGGGGGAACGGTTTGAAGTTTGTGGAATCAAAATGTGTGGCTCTGTTCAGTTTGATGTTTTTCTTTTTTTTTCGAAAAAGGGTGAATTTTATTAGCTTAAAATGAAGCATCAAGATAATACAAACACGATGAGCACACACCCGGCCTCTACACAATTAGGATGCACACAACCAATACCAACCCACACAAAATACACGCCTGCAAATAGCAAAGTCATATAAAACCAAAGCTATGCATGAGCGAGAAAAAGAAAAAAAAAGTGATCAGTTCCATGATCGGCAAACTACAAGAAAGACCATATCCGCACCAACCGTCTCAAGACACCGTATGAACTTCGTGATTCTTCAACAGCAACGCCTTCAGGAAGGGAGCAACACTCAACGCCGTCATCACTGGATCCAGCGGTCAACGTCGGAATCTAGGTTTTCACCTTGAAGAAACTGTCTGAGCATATCCGAGCAATGCCTTCAACAAGGTAACGATGTATAACCATCGCCATTGCTAGAATTCTAATCTGGGCTTTCACCCCGGAGCTCGATATCGGGTACTTAAGAAGCACCGCCGTCGACGTCACAAATGTGTTGTCGCCACCACTTTTCCACTATCCCAGCAGCTATATGCGATGCGTCGCTGCACAATCATTCCTCTGCGTCAAGCCGATGTCCATAGTTTGCATCTCATTACCGAAGTGAACCATCGGATCTCAAGAGATGAACTCCCGAAGATCTTTCGTCGTCGTGGAGCCACAAGAGGTCGCCGCACCATCACAGGTTGTGGCCGCCATCGCTAGGCCGAACGAGATCTGGATCACCGTTACCGCTCGAGATACCACACACAGATGAGGGAAGACCGAGCCGCCATCTAGCAAGGCCCGGCCCAAGCGACGCTAGAGGACGCACGCATTGGCTAGATCAAGTCCATGTGTCCCAGCGCGCCGACCCGCCGCCCGTCTCCGTGCCCACCAGATCCAGGTTGCCGCCGCGAGCACAAGCCAGCAAGGAGCCAACCCGAGGCACCACTGGTGTGACCCGTGTTGGAAATATGCCCTAGAGGCAATAATAAAATGGTTATTATTATATTTCTTGTTCATGATAATTGTCTATTGTTCATGCTATAATTGTGTTATTCGGAAATCGTAATACATGTGTGAATACATAGACCACAATATGTCCCTAGTGAACCTCTAGTTGACTAGCTCATTGATCAATAGATGGTTACGGTTTCCTGACCATGGACATTGGATGTCATTGATAACGGGATCACATCATTAGGAGAATGCTGTGATTGACAAGACCCAATCCTAAGCATAGCACAAGATCGTGTAGTTCGTTTGCTAAAGCTTTTCTAATGTCAAGTATCTTTTCATTAGACCATGAGATTGTGCAACTCCCGGATACCGTAAGAATGCTTTGGGTGTGCCAAACGTCACAACGTAACTAGGTGGCTATAAAGGTGCACTACGGGTATCTTCGAAAGTATCTGTTGGGTTGGCACGAATCAAGACTGGGATTTGTCACTCCGTATAACAGAGAGGTATCTCTGGGCCCACTCGGTAAGACATCATCGTAATGAGCTCAATGTGACTAAGGGGTTGGTCACGGGATGATGTGTTACGGAACGAGTAAAGAGACTTGCCGTAACGAGATTGAACAAGGTATCGGTATACCGATGATCGAATCTCGGGCAAGTGCTATACCGGTAGACAAAGGGAATTGTATACGGGATTGATTGGATCCTCGACATCGCGGTTCATCCGATGAGATCATCGTGGAACATGTGGGAGCCAACATGGGTATCCAGATCCCGATGTTGGTTATTGGCCGGAGAGATGTCTCGGTCATGTCTGCATGATTCCCGAACCCGTAGGGTCTACACACTTAAGGTTCGATGACGCTAGGGTTATAGGAAAGGATTGTACGTGGTTACCGAATGTTGTTCGGGAGTCCCGGATGAGATCCAGGACGTAACGAGGAGTTCCGGAATGGTTCGGAGACAAAGATTTATATATGGGAAGTCCTCATTCGGTCGCGGAAGTGTTCGGGGGTTCATCGGTATTGTACCAGGACCACCGAAAGGGTTCCGGGGGTCCACCTGCCCCGGAGGGCCCTATGGGCTGAATATGGAGGGGGAACCAACCCCTAGGTGGGCTAGGCGCCAAACCCCCTAGGGCCCATGCGCCTAGGGTTTGGGGGAACCCTAAAGGGCGCGCCCCCTTGGCTTGGGGGGCAAGCCTTCCCCCCTTGCCCGCCGCCCCCCTCTAGATCCATCTAGAGGGGGCCGACCCCCTCTCCCTTACCCCTATAAATAGAGGGGAGGTGGGAGGGCAGCCGCACCACATCCAAGGCGCAGCCCTCCCCCTCCCCAACACCTCCTCCTCCTCTCGCGACGCTTGGCGAAGCCCTGCCGGAGTACCACGCTGCTCCAACACCACCACGCCATCGTGCTGCTGCTGGACGGAGTCTTCCCCAACCTCTCCCTCTCTCCTTGCTGGATCAAGGTGTGGGAGACATCATCGGGTTGCACGTGTGTTGAACACGGAGGCACCGTTGTTCGGCGCTTGGATCAGAATCAACCGCGATCTGAATCGCCACGAGTATGACTCCCTCATCCGCATTCTTGTAACACTTCCGTGTCGCGATCTTCAAGGGTATGAAGATGCACTCCCCTCTCACTCTCGTTGCTAGTTTCTCCATAGATTGATCTTGGTGATGCGTAGAACATTTTAAATTTCTGCAATGATCCCCAACAGTGGCATCATGAGCTAGGTCTATGCGTAATTTCTATGCACGAGTAGAACACAAGTTGTCGTGGGCATCGATTTTGTCAATTTACTTGTCGTTACTAGTCTTATCTTGATTCGGCGGCATCGTGGGATGAAGCGGCCCGGACAGACCTTACACGTACTCTTACGTGAGACAGGTTCCACCGACTGACATGCACTAGTTGCATAAGGTGGCTAGCGGGTGTCTGTCTCTCCCACTTTAGTCGGATCAGATTCGATGAAAAGGGTCCTTATGAAGGGTAAATAGAAATTGGCATATCACGTTGTGGTTTTTGCGTAGGTAAGAAACGTTCTTTCTAGAAACCTATAGTAGTCGCGTAAAAACTTGCAACAACAATTAGAGGACGTCTAACTTGTTATTGCAGCATATGCCGTGTGATGTGATATGGCCAAAAGGATGTGATGAATGATATATGTGATGTATGAGATTGATCATGTTCTTGTAATAGGAATCACGACTTGCATGTTGATGAGTATGACAACCGGCAGGAGCCATAGGAGTTGTCTTAATTTATTTATGACCTGCGTGTCAACATAAACATCATGTAATTACTTTACTTTATCGCTAACCGTTAGCCATAGTAGTAGAAGTAATAGTTGGCGAGACAACTTCATGAAGACACGATGATGGAGATCATGATGACGGAGGTCATGGTGTCATGCCGGTGATGAGGATGATCATGGCGCCCCAAAGATGGAGATCAAAAAGGAGCAGAATGATATTAGCCATATCATGTCACTATTTGATTGCATGTGATGTTTATCATATTTTACATCTTATTTGCTTAGAACGACGGTAGCATAAATAAGATGATCCCTCACAATAATTTCAAGAAAGTGTTCCCCCTAACTATGCACCGTTGCTAAGGTCCGTTGTTCCGAAGCACCACGTGATGACCGGGTGTGATAGGTTCTAACGTTCGCATACAACGGGTGTAAGCCAGATTTACACACGCAATACACTTAGGTTGACTTGACGAGCCTAGCATGTACAGACATGGCCTTGGAACACGGAAGACCGAAAGGTCGAACATGAGTCGTATAGAAGATACGATCAACATGAAGATGTTCATCGATGATGACTAGTCCGTCTCACATGATGATCGGACACGACCTAGTTGACTCGGATCATGTATCACTTAGATGACTAGAGGGATGTCAATCTGAGTGGGAGTTCATTAAATAACTAGATTAGATGAACTTAATTATCATGAACATAGTCCAAAACCTTGCAATATGTCTTGTAGATCAAATAGCCCACGCTAATGTTGCCCTCAACTTCAACGCATTCCTAGAGAAAACCAAGCTGAAAGACGATGGCAGCAACTACACGGACTGGGTCTGTAACCTGAGGATTATCCTCATAGCTGCCAAGAAAGCATATGTCCTTGAAGCACCGCTAGGTGACGCACCTGTTTTCCTAGCGACTCAAGACGTTATGAACGCCTGGCAGTCGCGTAGTGATGATTACTCCCTGGTTCAGTGCGGCATGCTTTACAACTTAGAACTGGGGATCCAAAAGCGTTTTGAGCAACATGGAGCATATGAGATGTTCCAAGAGCTGAAAATGGTTTTCCAAGCTCATGCCCGAGTCGAGAGATATGAAGTCTCCGACAAGTTCTACAGTTGTAAGATGAAGGAGAATAGTTCTGTCAGCGAGCACATACTCAAAATGTCTGGGTTGCACAACCGCTTGTCTAAGCTGGGAGTTAATCTCCCGGATGACGCGGTTGTTGACAGAATCCTTCAGTCGCTTCCACCTAGCTACAAGAGCTTTATGATGAACTTTAATATGCAGGGGATGGAAAAGACCATTCCTGAGGTATATTCAATGCTGAAATCAGCGGAGGTGGAGATCAAAAAGGAACATCAAGTGTTGATGGTGAATAAAACCACTAAGTTCAAGAAAGGCAAGGGTAAAAAGAACTTCAAGAAGGACGGCAAGGGAGCTGCCGTGCCCGGTAAGCAAGATGTCGGGAAGAAGCCAAAGAATGGACCCAAGCCTGAAACTGAGTGCTTTTATTGCAAGGGAAACGGTCACTGGAAGCGGAACTGCCCCAAGTACTTAGCGGATAAGAAGGCCGGCAATATCAAAGGTATATGTGATATACATGTTATTGATGTGTACCTAACCAACGCTCGTAGTAGCTCATGGGTATTTCATACCGGTGCGGTTTCTCATATTTGTAAATCAAAACAGGAGCTGCAAAATAAGCGGAGACTGGCAAAGGACGAGGTGACGATGCGTGTCGGGAATGGTTCCAAGGTCGATGTGATCGCCGTCGGCACGCTGCCTCTACATTTACCTACGGGATTACTTTAAAACCTCAATATTTGTTATTTAGTACCAGCTTTGAGCATGAACATTGTATCTGGATGTCGTTTAATGCGAGATGGCTACTCATTTAAATCCGAGAATAATGGTTGTTCCATTTATATGAGAGATATGTTTTATGGTCATCCCCCGCTGGTCAATGGTTTATTCTTGTTTAATATCGAACGTGATGTTACACATGTTCATAGTGTGAATGAAGTGTAAGGTTATAATGATAGTCCCACATACTTGTGGCACCGCTGCCTTGGTCACATTGGTGTCAAACGCATGAAGAAACTCCATGCAGATGGACTTTTGGAGTCTCTTGATTATGAATCATTTGACACGTGCGAACCATGCCTCATGGGCAAAATGACCAAGACTCCGTTCTCCGGAACAATGG